TTCTTCATTTCAGGACCGACGTTGGTCAACGTGTCCTTCATCATGGACACTCTCCTCATCGTCGACTCTATGCAGGTAGGTTCCAATTTCTCTTCAGAGGTTGGTGTTACAAACACATGCACAAATACACACACACACACACATAGACACACACACACACATACATACACACATACACACACACACACAGATGTTAGGAAGTATTTCTTCAGTCCTAGAGTTGTTAGGAAGTGGAATTGTCTAGCAAGTGATGTTGTGGAGCCAGGAACCATACTTAGCCTTAAGACGAGATATGATAAGGCTCATGGAGCAGAGAAAGAGGACCTAGTAGCGATCAGTGAAGAGACGGGGCCAGGAGCTCTGACTCGACCCCTGCAACCACAAATAGTTGAGTGCAAATAGGTGAGACGTCCCCTGACATCATAGCACTTACAGAAATAAAGTTCACGGGGATGATAACAGACGCAATATTTCCAGCCGGGTATCAGAGGTGGAGGAGATGCACTGCTTATCAAAAACCGGTGGAGATTTGAGGAAATCGAGGGAACGGACAGAATAGGCGTTAAAGGGGTTACATAGTAGAAACAGTTCAATATGGGAGCCCTAAATTGGTTATTACAGTGATGTACAATCCGGCACAGAACATCACAGCAGGAAGGCCAATAGAAAGAATATGAAGAGATCTACAGAGCAATGGTGGACACACTGGCCGAGGTAGCCAGAAGAGCCCACATGGGTAGGGCTATTAGTTATGGGTGGTTTCAGTCACAAGGAGACTGACAGGAAAAACCTGGAGCAATATGGGGGACCCGAAAAGTGGAAAGCCAAGATGATGGTGGTGGTGGTGCTGGAAAAAATCATCCACCAACATATCAGGTACACTACCAGAGAGAGAGAGAGAGAGAGAGGAAGAACCAGCAAGAGTGGACCTCGTATTCACCATGTGTAGTTCAGATATCGAGGACATCACATACGAAAGGCCCCTCCGAGCTAGTGATCACGTGGTTCTGAGCTTCAAATACATAGTAGCGTTACAAGTGGAGAAGGAAGCAGAAACACAAAGGGAGAAGCTTAACTACAAAAGGGAGGACTACATACGCATGAGGAATTTCCTGCAAGAGGTTCAGTGGGAAAGAGGGAAAAAACAGTCAAAGACAATGTAATCAGGGAGTGGAAGGAAGGAAGGGAATTCACAAGAAACGATCGAGAAGTATGTGAGGAGCTCAACATGAGATTTAAAGAAGTATTTACAGAGAAGAAAGGAAGGACCCTGGAAACCCAGAATAATGGGCTACACAACAAGGGGTACACCAACATGTGCTGGACGAAATATACACAACCGAGGAGGTGAAGATGCTCCACCGGAGGCCTGGTGGCTGAAGCTCCCGCTTCACACACGGAGGGCCCGGGTTCGATTCCCGGCGGATGGAAACATTTCGACACGTTTCCTTACACCTGTTGTCCTGTTCACCTAGCAGCAAATAGGTACCTGGGTGTTAGTTGACTGGTGTGGGTCGCATCCTGGGGGACAAGATTAAGGACCCCAATAGAAATAAGTTAGACAGTCCTCGATGACGCAATGACTTTCTTGGGTTATCCTGGGTGGCTAACCCTCCGGGGTTAAAAATCCGAACGAAATCTTTATCTTATCTTGTCTTAGATAGCTCAAAGGCGGTGGGACCAGACAACATCTCCCCGTGAAAACTTTAGAGACGGAGCAGAGACACTGTGTGTGTCACTAGCAACAATCTCCAACATCCATTGAAACTGGGAAATTACCTGAAGTGTGGAAGACGGGAAATGTAGTTCCAATTTTTAAGAAAGGAGATACACACGTGGCATTAAACTACAGACCATTGTCACTGACATGAATAATATGCAAAGTCATGGAGAAGATTTTCAGGAGAGTGGTGGAGCACCTAAAAGGGAACAGACTTATACATAAGAACATAAGAAAGGAGGATCACTGCAGCAGGCCTGTTGGCCCATACTAGGCAGGTCCTTTGCAATCCCTCCCACTTACAAAACATTTGTCCAACATAATTTTCAATGCTACCCAAGAAATAAGCTCTGATAACTCTATCCACTCAAATCCAACCCCTCTCACTCATATATTTATCCAACCTAAATTTGAAATTACCCAAAATCCTAGCCTCAATAACCCAACTAGGTAGACTGTTCCACTCATCAACTACCCTATTTCCAAACCAATACTTTCCGATGTCCTTTCTAAATCTAAACTTGTCTAATTTAAATCCTTTACTGCGGGTTCTCTCTTGTAGAGATATCCTCAAGACCTTATTAATATCCCCTTTATTAATACCCATCTTCCACTTATACACTTCGATCAGGTCTCCCCTCATTCTTCGTCTAACAAGTGAATGTAATTTAAGAGTCTTCAATCTGTCTTCATAAGGAAGATTTCTAATGCTATGTATTAATTTAGTCATCCTACGCTGAATGTTTTCTAACGAATTTATGTTCATTCTGTAATATGGAGACCAGAATTGAGCTGCATAATCTAGGTGAGGCCTTACTAATGATGTATAAAGCTGCAGTATGACCTCTGGACTTCTGTTGCTTACACTTCTTGATATAAATCCCAATAACCTATTTGCCTTATTACGTATGCTTAGGCACTGCTGTCTTGGTTTAAGGTTGCTGATCACCATAACCCCCAAGTCCTTTTCGCAATCTGTATGGCTAAGTTCTACATTATTTAATTTATAAGTGCTAGGGTTATGGACACTCCCGAGCTTCAGAACCTTGCATTTATCTACATTGAACTGCATCTGCCACTTTTCTGACCAAGAATAGAGATTGTTTGAATCCTCCTGAAGTTCCCTAACATCTACGTTTGAATCAATTATCCTACCTATCTTTGTGTCATCGGCGAATTTGCTCATATCACTAGTAATACCCTCATCAAGGTCATTGATATATATTATAAACAACAACGGGCCTAAGACTGCTCCCTGTGGTACGCCACTTGTTACAGATCCCCACTCCGATTTAACCCCATTTATGGACACTCTCTGCTTCCTGTCTGCGAGCCATGACTCGATTCACGAGAGCACTTTTCCCCCAATGCCATGAGCTGCCACTTTCTTTAACAGTCTTTGGTGTGGAACTCTATCAAAAGCCTTACTAAAATCTAAGTAAATAATATCAAATTCTTTATCGTGATCAACAGCCTCAAATGCTTTACTGAAGAAAGTTAATAAATTAGTTAGACAAGAACAGTCTCTCGTGAATCCATGCTGAGTATCATTAATCAAGCTATGCTTATCGAGATGGCTTCTTATAATCTCAGCTATAATCGACTCTAGTAATTTGCCTACAATTGAGGTCAGACTTATTGGGCGGTAATTTGACGGTAACGACTTGTCCCCTGTTTTAAAAATAGGAATTACATTAGCCATCTTCCACATATCCGACACTACACCTGTTTGAAGAGATAAATTAAAAATATTAGTTGATGGTTCACAGAGTTCTATTTTGCTTTCCTTAAGAACCCTTGAAAAAAACCTCATCAGGACCCGGCGACTTATTTTGCTTCAGTCGGTCTATCTGCTTCACAACCATTTCACTAGTGACTGTGACGTTACATAATTTATCTTCTTCAGGCCCACTATAAATATTAATTACTGGAATACTATTATTTAAAATCGAGCACATTTCATTCTCTTTGTCAGTATGGTGCCCATAGTTATTTTTAAGGGGACCTATCTTATCTCTAACTTTCGTTCTATACACCTGGAAAAAACTTTTTGGGTTAGTTTTTGAATCCCTAGCAACTTTAATTTCATAGTCCCTTTTAGCTTTTCTTATCCTCTTTTTAATGTCCCTCTTAATATCAATATACTGATTCATAAGATGACCCTCACCTCTTTTGATACGCCTATAAATTCCTTTCTTATGCCCTAGTAGATATTTGAGCCTATTATTCATCCATTTTGGGTCATTTCTATTTGATCTAATTTCTTTATACGGGATAAACGTTCTTTGAGCAGCATGTATAGTGTTCAGAAAACTGTCATATTGATAGTACTCTTCGTTAGCCCAGTCAACAGATGGTAAGTGTCCTCTAAGCCCATTGTAATATGCTAAGCGAAAATCTGGAACAGTTACTGAGTTGTCCCTACTATCATACTTCCATTCTATGCTAAAGGTAATTGATTTGTGATCGCTTGTGCCGAGTTCCTCATTAATTTCTAAATTATTAACAAGGGTTTCCTTGTTCGCCAGAACCAAATCAAGTAGGTTATGTTCCCTTGTAGGTTTTGTCACAAACTGCTTCAAAAAACATTCCTGAACTACTTCTAAGAAGTCATTTGATTCTAAATTCCCAGTCAAGTAATTCCAATCAATGTGACTAAAGTTAAAGTCCCCTAGAATTGCTACATTATCGTGCCTTGTGGCCTTAACAATTTCCTCCCACAGTAATTTCCCTTGGTCCCTATCTAAGTTTGGGGGACGGTATATCACTCCTAGAATCAATTTTTTATGCCCCTCTGAAAATTCTATCCAGACAGAGTCTGTATGTGTTACCTCAGACTTAATACCCGTTTTTATGCAACAGTTCAAGTGATCTCGGACAACAATGCCACCCCACCCCCCTTACCGATATTTCTATCTACTTGGAACAATTTAAAACCCTGAATGTGACAATCCGAAGGCATGTCCCGACTTTTGGAATTAAACCATGTCTCTGTGATTGCAAATACATCAATGTTACTTGCACTAGCAACTAATCTCAACTCATCCATCTTATTCCTAGCACTACGGCAATTAGCATAATATAATTTTAAAGACCCTCCTTTCTCTTTACCCTTCCTGCTCATATCTGTTTTTCACTAAACCTATTACTGTCCTTGTCGCCTAGTGTCATTGGCTTTCCAATATCCACCTCATTCTGCCTATTACTAGTTCCCCTAGAACTCACTGTATTCATGCCAAAACCCATACCACTATCCATTCCTAGTTTAAAGACCTAACAGCTCCCTCCACTGCCGTTGCCAGTGCCCCCACCCCAGACCTAGATAAGTGAACCCCATCCCTGGCATACATGTCAT